ATCATAGATTCGGGGTGGGGTATCATAGATTCCGAGTGGGGTATCATAGATTCCGGGTGGGGTATCATAGATTTCGGGTGGGGTATCATAGATTTGGCGTGGGGTATCATAGATTCCGGGTGGGGTATCATAGATTCTGGGTGGGCGTGAGACCCTTGCACCGGTCCTGTATCCACGGTATCAATTCTCTAGTGTCTAATTACTTTCATTTTTTTTTCTTTCTAATGGATAATGAAAGCGAAAAGTGTTTTTTATGTTCAACCTTTCGTCACATTTGATTCATCGTCAGGGCAGATGCATTATAAGTATCGTTTTAAAACTATCGTTATATTCTTTTTTTTTTTTTGAAGATCAAATCCAATATGATTCAAACAAAACATGACACTATATAGAGAGAGATACGTAGATACATACAGACAGACATAATGAAGTGTGTGCGTTTGTCCATGTTGACAGGTGTTTATGGACGATTTAATAATGAAGGACACATAAACACGCACACACATTACACACACACTTGTCTCTGTCAATATATCAGGAAAAGGAATTTTAATATTTTTATGTCCAGATGTGAAGTTAAGGTCAGAGATGTTTTTGAATACTTGTTGTAGTTGATATAGTTCCCTAATATTTTTTTTACTAAGATGAGGATATTGTCAACATATCCAAGGTATATATATATATATATATATATATATATATATATATATTATTATTATTATTATTATTACTTTATTATAATTTTATTATATAGACAAAACCATTTTACTCACTACAAAGATGCAACTTGGTTTCAGTGTATTTCAACGGCACTTCGACCAAGTTGCATCTTTTTTATGAAAAATGTTTTGTCTATATATGTGCATAATAAAGATTTATAAAAATTTTATATATATATATATATATATATATATCTTAGATATGTTGACAATATCCTCGTCTTAGTAAAAGTAAAATTATAATAAATAAATAATTATCGCTCTACTATCGGTATCGAGTACTCTTTTGGATTAATGCTGTGAACGTTGGAATTTATATATTACTTTCGATCTCATCGCATCGGATATATATATATATATATATATATATATATATATATATATATATATATATTTAAGCGTTCAACCCCAACCAAGGCGGGAAGCCACTAGGACACAAGGGTTTACAGAGAGTTGGGGCGAGACCAAAGAGGAGTGATAGAGGAAAGGATGAAGAGAAAGATAGAGGATAGATCAGGGCATCTGGAGACGTCGATTGAAATTACATTTGAATAGTTGGAGATTATAGCTTTCAAGGAAAGCAAGAAATGGAGAGGGAGTTCCACAGGCGAGAAGTATGAGCCATGATGCTATTAGAGTAGAAGAGACGGCTATATTTAACAGTTTAGACAGTGAAAGTGTGAGAGCGAGATGCCAGCCTAGTTGAACGTTTAAATTCATGAAGTCTGGGAACCAGCGAAAGCAGCTCATCGGAGCAGTTACCATGAAAGTATTTGTGAAAATGACAGAGGGGGGAATTAACTGTTGAAAAAAATGTTCCTAGTTGTATTTTTCACCTATATGATCCATTAATATACAGAAGTATGTGACAATAAAATTTGAATTTTATTGTCACATCAATATATCTAGAAAAGGAATTTTTATTATTGCTGTTATGCCCATGTGTGAAGTTAAGGGCAGAGTTGTTTTTGAATACTTGTTGAAGTTAACGTAGTTCCCTAATATTTTTTACTAAGATGATGATATTGTCAACATATCTAAGGTATAAGGAGTTTAAAAAATTTTTTTTTTGCATATTATTTTCAAGGTTAGCCATATAAAAGTTACTAAAACTATAAGCCACCACAAGAATTCAGACATTAACTAAGTTACCTCCCCTACATAATAATGTTTACAATATGGAAGAATTTAAAAAAAAAAAAAAACACCGTTTGCTACTTTGCGCATGACCGGAATTGTTAACAGTATAATCACAAAGGCAAAAATTTACATCGGTCACCCAGAGATATTTGTCTTAGGCATCGTAACCCTGAAAACGATATTGTAAATATATCGGACGTATTCGAAAAAATGAAATGAATACAACCATGGTATCTTCCTCGTTTTATTTTAATCATGAAAACAACAAAGCTCGTACGTGATTACGAGAGGATCTTATTAAAAATAAACAAATGTCAGAATTATTTAATTAGACATGTTTATATATATATACATACATACACATATATATATATATATATATATATATATATATATATATATATATATATATATATATATATATATATATTGGACTGCTCTCCTGTCATTTGCGACGTATGAGGGTAAATTAGTTCATTTCTCACATATGATTTCATTATTTTTCCTTGTCTTGTGCAAAGACAGCCACACCTTTTTGGAAGGGATGAATACAGAGAACTCGCGCGTCACAGGTCTTCAAACGACCCTTCTTCGGTTTTGGATTCAGAGTTGTCATTCTCCTAGTCCGATTCGCAACCAAG